TCGCAACAGCCCGAACGGCTTGCCAATCCATATTTGGCTGGCTTACAATGGAAACATGTTTGTAATAGAATAGAAAAATATAAATTATTGTCGGTATAAAACCAGGGTCAACTGTAATTGATATGCCGAACATTTGCTAGGGAAGTGGAAACGCACGAAGGTGAAAAGTTGAATGAATTTCCAGAGATTCATTTACTGAATTTCAATTATGTTGTGTTTCAGTGCATTAAACCCGGCAACTGTGTTAGTGAGTCAAGATCCGTCTGGCTTCCCCCTTCCTATTGATAATTATAAAATGTTGCGACAGTTTCCGCTTGCGTTGAAGCAAACCACAAATTGATTCTGAAAGTACGATAAAAATAAAATCCAATGTGCATACAATTAACAAGTCATTTGAAAACATATTTCGCTGACCAATTGTGAAGTTCTCTAGCGATAACCCCGCAGTTTAACCTCAACCGAAATTCGAGAACACAATTTACTGGTTGCCATGTGCCTTGGCATGTGTGAATGAACTAAAAAGAAAAGTGGAATAAAGACTGCAATTTCCATATCAAATGTATGCGAATGTCGTAAGGTGATTTGTCTGTTCACTTGAATAATTTTAATGAGTAATCGTTGTTGGGCTGCTTTCAGAGAAAGTCTAAGTACAGTCCTGCCCTTACTATTGGTAACTGGATTTTTGGTAACCTACTTATTGAAAAAAACTCTTCAATAAAAATGTTTAATTTTAACGTTCGATTTTGTACTTTGGATTAACTTAATCGGTTTTGCTCGGCAACCCGCTTCTGATTAGAGTCTAAAGTACTCATCTCTGTCTATATATTTCCCAATACACGCGATTTGTACATATAGAGCAAACACTTGAACTAGAAACTGAAATGCCTTATCAATGGTTTTTCCTATTAATAGTTCTCGAAGAACAATTGCGTAACAGAGCAAAAAATAAACTGATGCGACATCAGAAAAATTCTGTAAAAATACATGTTAAGTAAAATGGATTATAATTTAAAAATTACAATATTTAAGTCGCAATTCTTGGTCTCTGTTTTTTCTAGTGCAACTCACTTTGTATTGTTTATAACTTTGTTTATATCTTTATGGCGACTAAATTGCCAACTGGATTTCTTTTTTTAATGGACTGGCTTTTTTCTTATCTACAGTCTATGGCAAAACTGTAAAATTTATAAAATATTGCGAAGTTTTTGTCTAACGAAAGAGTGGCAGACGGAAATTAATTTGAATATTTGTCTGCCAATGCATGAATAATTAAACTTTAAATTAGTCACTATTCAGATAAACAAATTGTTTTGTGTTTTTGTACTAGTTTGCTGTTTTTGCTTGCATTGTATATAGAAATATTACAACTTTTAAAAGTATAGAAAAGTTTATCTTTGTTTTTTTTTTTTAATAAATCTTGTTCTGTGGTTACTACGCTTCATTAAATTTAATTGTTCATCTTTAAAAGTGTCAAAATTATTTAAGAACAATTCCTTTGCAGTTTTTATTGATGTTAATTTTATTTATCTTTTTTCCACGTTCCTGGAACGACAACCTGTTACTCATCCGAATATGGTAATTTTGTAAAATAAATTTGCCACTTAACTTCCGCATTAATATATTTTCGAGGTGCTCTCAACCAAAAACTGTGCATATACATATTGGATGTTTAAGGTTCCTATATATAGCCCGTTTTTATTGATACGCTAATTTACGCAAATACGTGAGCATTTGAGGGTTAATAAATAATGTTTTTCCGACCCAGCTGGGTACACTTGTCCCCTTGGAATGTACTGTGCCTCTCTCCATGACCCATTATTTCAATTAACTTGTAAACACTTTACTCCACTTATCGAAAACGCCCTGAGACGACAACAACAACAACATCCACTATATCTATTCGCCATATATCGCTATAGTGCAGCTCTCTATCTTTGAATCTGTCGTGTGTGCCCCAAGCGCCAAACAAAAGGCATTTGGAAAATTGTTTGTAAACGGGCCATTAATTTATTTACTGCAAAACAACAATGACAATTGCCGGCAAGTAATTCTTTGGACCGTTGATGGTGGTCCTAAGACAATTCCATTTGATTTTAGTTTTTTGATTGTCATCTTGGCTGTCAGGCAGTTCAATTTTCTTGAGGGAAAGCCTTTTTCCCCCCCTCAAACAAAACTTTTTGTGTTCCGTGTGGATAGTTCTTCTCAACTATTATTAGTTAATCCGCCATATTATTGCTGTAAGCTGTTAGAATTCATGTGCTCCTTCTCTGTTATTATATATAATTGCGGTTTATTGGGTACTAATTAGATTGACAGATGATACCTAATCCGGATTCAATCAAGCATGAAATATTTTTAGAACTCTTTCTGTATTTAGGGTTTCCTATTTCTGCTGAGTAATTAGATCCTTAAGAACGCTTATAATATTTTACTAAATCTTTATAATAAATAGGTTCTCTAAGATCTCTTTACCGAAGAGCTTCTGAAGCCTTTTCTTTGCCCAACCTATTATCTCATTGTCACTCCACTTATTCACTGCAAAACGAACTGAAAAATTCCACTCCTAAGCCATGGGCATATATATATATTTTGATTGCATTATAAAGATGTAATAATTCATACTATTTATGTGCATAAGAAGACGAGTGTATATATTCAATATTTGATTGATATTCAGGGCACCCGCTGACGTAGATGGGCAGTTCTCAATTAGATTGTTTGCTCATCGTAAGCACTATTCAGATAGGTATATATATAAATATATATATATTATATATATATGAGCATGTTCTACAATATTGGTTCCACTTTATCAATTTTTGCCTCCACCTATCTGTCTCTCTTTTGGCGATCTTTCATCTCAGTCTCGCTATCAGGGGCACAGCAACAAGCTCCTCGGGAGATGAGATAGTGTTCTTATATACAACATGCTACAAATGGGGGCGTGGCACCTTCGGAGAGGTTAGTCTATTGAGAGTTCTCAGAACCCAAACCATGCTCGTGATAGAATTCAAATAAAAATACATTTAATTGCCGTGTGGAAATGTTTCTCAATTAATAACTGACTTTTGACTTGATCAGGGTGTGAGCTCACTGCAAATATACTTATCAGCACGAGGGGCCTGCCTTTCAAACTTATTTAACACTAATGAATGGCGAGTTTTAATTTAGAACTTTTGGATTTTTGAGTACTATACAACGTAGAAAGCGTCTAAAACAATTCATAATTGAAAAAACAATGACAGACTTTGATGGTTGATATAGTACATGTCGGAGGCGGGTTGTCTATTTCGATACCTCTCGATCTCGTGTCGCGCAGTGTGAAACTTAATGCCATCGTTCGTCGCCTATAAACAAAAGCATATCTCCAATTACGTCTGACTGAAGCACACGAACAGTTCAATCCACAACAAAAGCACTGTAGACAATATATATGTACGTATAAACAAAATAACAATTGAAATAACAACATCGGCGAAAAAATAAATAACAAACCGAGATAAGCGCTGTAAAACGCTTCGCAAAAGGCGGCAACTTGTTAAATAAGCTAATTAATCTTATTTATTTCACAAATCTGTGTCGTTAATGTTTATGATAAATATTTATAATGGCTGTGAGCTAGCATAACAAAAACAAGATTTGATAGATTTTTTTTTATATTTCTTGTTGAAAATAAACTAATTGTCCGATAAAATAATTCAAAGAATAGTAGGAAAAGGAAATGTTTTAAACATTAAATGTATAAATAGAGTTGTTTTGGTTAATGTGCTTTATGTAAAATATATGTAGTAGACTATTTAAACTCGGTTATTGCGCATTGGATTATCGTCTTCGAACCAATTTTTTCACATGATAAAAAGTAAAAGAGTAAGCTAACAAAAACTTTGATCATTTTAATAATGTAGTTTACTTTTACAGTTCACAACATCAAATATTGATGGGGTTTAATGCCATTAGCTATTCAACTGGTCATTATGTATGTGGTATTTGTATGGCACTACATATCTTACAGGCAATAAAATATAATGCCTGACGACATTTCACTTTGGGCTGTCAGTCAATGGCCTCTTTAGAGGTTGCATGCGGCACGCCACAGATCCATTTACAAACACTCTGTCTCTTTGTGTATCTATGTGTCCCTGTTGGTTTACCCCAGAAAAGTTTATAAATTTTATGCTCATATCATTGACATTGACATTGCTGTTGGGTCTTTAGAAATCTATAATTAGTGGGTGCTTTCGTTTAGATGTATGTAGCTACAAAACCACATTGTGTGGGCTTCGGCAAGGGGTTAAAAAGTAAGGGTATATTATTATATTTGTCTGGAGCTTAATGGCTTGATTGATTGTTGGTTTTAGGCCGATAAGAGGCTTTACAGGAATCAATGATTAGGACGTGCCTCCTAGCCCAGAACGTGTGGGTAACTCTCTACTCACATGTGTTTTGTTTCGATTGCATATGTGCACAGATTACCTAACGACAGAACTCCTGCAGCAAAATGACGCTTGTGACAACGAATACAAGCCAATTGTCGTCATAAATACGCGCCTAAAAAAATATATGGTATATTCAGAACCAGACATTGACAAATTTTCTAGCACAACTTAGGCATTTTCGTTCGTTCCATTCTATTTCACTTCCATTTCATTGTAGGCTTTGGTTTTTTCTTTTTCGCAAAAAGAAATTATATCACGCGCCTGATTTCCATATGCTTCTTTATTTATTTATTTTGTTTTGGGTGCGATGGTGTGCTCGTTTCAAATGATTTTCAATTGGTTACGTTTCGGCTAGCATATATAGCATATATATTGATGGATGGCATTTTAATGAAGCGTGAAACGATGACAATCGGTTGTTGGGTTCGGTACGGGGTTCACTTTACTTTGGGTACGACGACATGGCAACAAGTGGTTCGTTCGGCCTCTTATAAAGGGGGCTCGTTCTTGATTCTTGAGTGCTTAATTGATTTATTTTTTTTGTTCTACTCTATTTGCTTTTAGATCTACACACCACCTCCGCTGGACATCAAAATGGAAGTGTAAGTATTATTAAATATGATAATTGACTTTAAACGATTGCCTGAATGATGATGGATTTGGTTTTATTTGGGACAAAACAAATTTTTGGGGAAAAAAAGAAATGTATGCAATAAATTATTATCATTAAAGATAAATGGCCTTCTTTGATCTATATTCTATTATATTTTTTTGTTGTCGGTTTGGTGCCACATTAATTGGTAATAATTCATTTAATTATATTACTGTCCATTAAATAAATCAAAAATGTTGGTAAATTTTAGACTTTGGCAATTGTTATAAAAATATTTTTTTACTTATTTTAAATTTGTTTTGAATCCACAGTGAAATTGGTGAGCCACCCCAACCACCTGTGAAGATGTCCAACTTCTTCGCCAATCATTGGAAGGGTTTGGTGGTATTTCTGGTCCCTCTGCTTTGCCTGCCTGTAATGCTTCTGAACGAGGGCGCCGTAAGTTTAAACTACTCATAAATACATATTTTATCTTAAACTAATGATTTGCTTAATCATCTCCAGGAATTTCGTTGCATGTACCTGCTCTTGGTCATGGCCGTGTTTTGGGTGACAGAAGCCTTGCCGCTATATGTGACCTCAATGATTCCCATTGTGGCGTTCCCCATAATGGGTATAATGGTAAGATATTATTGATACAAAAAAAAAGGGCTTTGTTTTTAATAGTTTTCTACTTACCACTTTTGTAGAGCTCCGATCAGACCTGCCGTTTGTATTTCAAAGATACGCTCGTGATGTTTATGGGCGGCATTATGGTTGCTTTGGCAGTGGAATACAGTAATCTGCACAATCGTCTCGCTTTGAGAGTAATCCAGATCGTGGGCTGCAGTCCCCGAAGGTATAGATACTCCTAGGTCAAAAATGTCGAAGATTTAAATAGCTCAAACTTTCTTCCTTCTTAGATTACACTTTGGCCTGATTATGGTTACAATGTTCTTGAGTATGTGGATCTCGAATGCCGCCTGCACGGCCATGATGTGCCCAATTATCCAGGCTGTGCTGGGGGAGCTTCAGGCACAGGGCGTCTGCAAGATCCACCATGAACCTCAATACCAAATCGTCGGTGGCAACAAGAAGAACAACGAAGATGAGTAGGTAGCTTCTTGAAAATACTCTTCAAGAATTTCGAGTTCAATTTAAATCGATTTAGAGATATAATCTTAGGAATATTTGTATTTTTTAGGCCACCATACCCCACCAAGATCACTCTGTGTTATTATTTGGGAATTGCCTATGCTTCCTCATTGGGCGGCTGTGGAACCATTATTGGAACTGCCACCAATTTGACCTTCAAGGGCATCTACGATTCAAGTTTCCCCAAGTCCACCGAAAAGATGGACTTCCCCACTTTCATGTTCTACTCGGTGCCCTCGATGCTGGTGTACACCTTCCTCACATTCCTCTTCCTGCAATGGCACTTCATGGGTCTGTGGCGTCCCAAGAGCAAGGAGGCCCAGGAAGTCCAGATGGCCAAGGATGGCGCAGATGTGGCTAAGAAAGTAATCGATCAGCGCTACAAGGAGCTGGGCCCCATGTCCATCCACGAGATCCAAGTGATGATTCTATTCATCTTCATGGTTGTGATGTACTTCACCCGCAAGCCGGGCATCTTTTTGGGCTGGGCCGACTGGCTGGACACCGTGTAAGTGGATACTTCGTTACTCTAGTAAAACTAGACTAAGCTTAGGTTTTTAAATTATGAATCACTTTTGTTTGGACGCTTCAACTATTTTCGATTAAGGAAAATAGTTCACACTTTTTGACTGACTTTGAATTCTTTAAGAGTTTTCTAAAACAAGCGTTCTATTGCTGCTATAATTTAGTAACAACACAAAGCTTTTGTGTGTGTCGTGTGCTTACATAAACAAATAAAAATGTACATGTATTTATTTGTTCCAGGGACATTCGTAACTCTATGCCCACCATTTTCGTGGTGATCATGTGCTTCATCCTGCCTGCCAACTATGCTTTCCTGCGTTATTGCTGCAAGCGCGGTAGTCCCGTGCCCACGGGCCCCACTCCCTCGCTGATCACCTGGAAGTTCATCCAGAGCAAAGTGCCATGGGGTCTGGTGTTCCTGTTGGGCGGCGGATTCGCTTTGGCCGAGGGCAGCAAGAAGAGCGGCATGGCCAAGATGATTGGCGGTGCCCTGATTGGATTGAAGGTCCTGCCCAACGCAGTGCTCCTGCTGGTGGTTATCCTGGTGGCTGTGTTCATGACTGCTTTCAGCTCCAACGTGGCCATTGCCAACATCATTATTCCCGTGCTGGCTGAGATGGTGAGTTGAAAGCAATACAATCAATCAATAGAATTTACTTCATGAATTTTCTTCGTTAGGCCCTGGCCATTGAGATTCATCCACTGTACCTGATCCTGCCCGCGGGTTTGGCTTGCAGCATGGCCTTCCACCTGCCGGTAAGCACTCCACCCAATGCTCTAGTGGCCGGCTATGCCAACATTCGGACCAAGGACATGGCCATTGCCGGAATTGGCCCAACCATCATTACCATCATCGTTCTGTTTGTTTTCTGCCAAACCTGGGGCCTGGTCGTCTATCCCAACCTCAACACTTTCCCCGAATGGGCGCAAGTTTATGCCGCGGCAGCGGGAAACAAGACGCACTAGTTAGTTAGTCTTTAGTGTGATTTAACTCACAGACCACAGGCCACAGCGGTAAAATCATATCATTTTAGGGAATTGTACAAGAAAAGTGCCTTTGCTGACAGCGAAAAGTGTGAAACAATATTTAACGATACTTGCATTTCTGAATTGCGTAATGTTTTGTAACGAAAACATCAACTATTGTTTAGCAAAACGTGTTGGAAAGAGTTCACATAATATACTATTGATCAGGCCTTCAGCTCCTGGTTTGCAAACTCAGTTAAATACAAATATTTGTTCAAATTTAAATACACATTAATGTTACTTAATTGTTGCATTTAGAAAAAAAAAAAAAAAAGATTTCGAAAATGTGGGGAAAATTAAGTTCAATGGCTTGCCGATATTTTTAATAACTAGACTGAGAGAACGTACATATTTCATACATGTTTTGCAATTTGTAAAAATTTAATATTTACAATTTACTCAATAATTGATTGCGAACCGAAATGAGCACACAAATAGCCTTAGTATAAGCTTAAATGATACTGTGTAAATTTGCAAATGATTTATGTTTTATATAGTTTGTAAAAAATATGAAATAAAAATAAAAAGCTCAAACGACAGTATGTTTACAGTATGTGCATAAAGTTAAAAAAAAATTAGCAATAACAAGAGTGGCAAATCTAATTCACGAATAATTTTCTGATAACTAACGGCAAATAATGGTTAAAAAAAAAAGTATAGATTTTGAAATTTTCACTGCTAACTTTATGCACATCAGTTTTGTCAATTTATTTGGAATTTAAAGAACGCGCTCTCGATAACTCGATAGTCTTCTCCTCTAGAGATGGACTACTTTGTGCAGTTTTACATTTACTGGTATCTTTCATTCACGGTTTTTGAGTCACTGGAAACCTGTTGCTGACTTAATCGAAACGTAAAATTTAACATTCCATTGGCCAAAATTATATTTTAATGACAGAGAGGACGGTGTTTAGAGGTTAAGTAAATATCAATGCAATTAAAAGCAACAATTATTATTAAACACATTAATAAGGAATTATAACTGGACTGAATAGAACTAAAACTTAAGTAAATTGGTAAAAAATGATTCACCATTAAAATGGGGTTGCTTCCTACATAAAATATACAACATTTATAGTTTATGTTAAACTTTAAAACTATATTTAATGACTTTCGTTTTACTAACATAAGCTGAAAGAGTGTGCCTTAATTCAATGAAAGTAATATGAATTTAAAGAACATGTACTAACAATTAAATCTAAAAAGAAAATGTTGTATACGCTTTTCATTCTTAAAAACTTTAAACTTAATTTGTGCAAGCAACTAAATTTCACTAGCTAAAATAAAAATGGCCCATCTTTTTATCAAAAAATAAAGAATTTATTATATATCCATTGCATATAATTGTATTTCGTGTATAACTAAGACAATTTTGAATATCAAAACAAGACAAGACACAGTATGTGGTTAAATCAATTTTATCCCGCAACCAAAGAGCCGAAAAGCGTTCGGAGTGGGTATCGTTGTGGATTAATCGTAATTAAGGCCAAAAACCAAGTCGAATTTGAGGCGATTGGGGGATTGCCTCTGCTTAAAACTTCGAGGACTTGGCCAGGTTAAGTTCTTCGGTCAACATGCGACCGAAATCGGCATGCACCAGGGTGAAGTTCTTGACGGCTCGTTCCTGCAGGAACTGGCTGGCGTTGCTCAGATGACCGGCGATGTTCTGCACCAGACGCTTCTTGGCGCACTTGTCCAGAGTGTGCACCCAGAAGTCGGTGACCTGGCCAAAGTTGTCCTCCGTATCTCCGCTGCTGTAGCGGTAGACATCTCCAGTTACCGGGCAGCACGAAGACAGAGCTCGGGCCCTTGGGCATTCCTGGGGTCCGTTGAACGAGTTGGGGAAATAGTTCGGGGCACCGTCCTGGTTGTCAGTGACGTTCATGGGTCCATCCCGCTGGTAGTTCGCCACCTTCACCTTGTAGGGGCAGTTCACCGGAATCTGCAAGTAGTTGGGTCCCAGACGATGGCGATGGGTGTCCGAGTAGGAGAACAGACGACCCTGGAGCATCTTGTCCGGGGAGGGCTCAATGCCGGGCACCATATGAGCCGGGCTGAAGGCAATCTGCTCCACCTGAAATTTAAAGAAATAGCCAACGATTAGATAAAAATTAATTTATAACAATTGAAAACAAAACAAGCCTTTTAAGTTATTTGAAAAGAGCTTTCCTAAGCTTAATATATCAATTATATATAAATAAACAATACCAATTCTCAGACAATACTTAAGATCAACGCAAAAAATTTTAGACTTTTTGATCACAAAACAAAAATTACACTAGTTTAAAAAATTAAAAACAAGACAGCTGATAAAAACTTTATAAAATCTAAAAAAATAAACTGTCCTAAGAAAAAACTAGGGTAATTTTTCCAATAACTTTTTTGCTTAAAAAGTAATTGTTATAAAATTGTTTATAAAATTTCCCCTTGAACAAGTATAAAAAATAGCGAAATAAATACGATAATTGAGTAGGAGAACAAACCTCAGCAAAGTAGTTTTTGGGATTGCGATCCAGGACCATCTTGCCGACGGGAATCAGAGGGAACTCCTTCTGCGACCAGACCTTGGTGACATCAAACGGATTGTACTTGAACTTCTTGGCCTCCTCGAAGGTCATAACCTGGATGTACATGGTCCAGCTGGGGAACTTGCAGGTCTTGATCCTGTTGTACAGATCACGAATGCTGTAATCCGGATCGGTGCTGGCCAACTGATCGGCGGTCTTCACGTCCAGATTCTTGATGCCCTGGTCCGTCTTGAAATGGAACTTGGCGTAGATGGGGTCGCCCTTGGCGTTGATCAACTTGAAGGTGTGCGAACCATAGCCGTTCATGTGGCAATAGCCGTCGGGAGTGCCGCGATCGCTGAACAGGAAGCACACCTGGTGAGCCGACTCCGGACGCAGGGTGAGGAAGTCCCAGAACATGTCCGGATCCTTCAGGTGCGTCTGCGGGTTACGCTTCTGCGTGTGAATGAAGCTGGGGAACAGGATCGGGTCGCGAATGAAGAAGATCGGTGTGTTGTTGCCAACCAAATCCCAGACGCCGTCGTCCGTGTAGAACTTGATGGCGAATCCTCGAGGATCACGGGCCGTATCAGCCGATCCGCTCTCACCACCCACGGTGGAGAATCGCACGGCCAATGGAGTGCGCTTCTTCACCTTGTCGAATATCTTGGCGGCACAATACTGCGAGATGTCGTGGGTCACCTCGAAGTAACCGAAGGCACCAGCTCCCTTGGCGTGCACCACACGCTCCGGAATCCTCTCCCTGTCGAAGTGCGACATCTCGTCCAGGAAGTTCACATCCTGCAGCAGCACAGGACCACGAGGACCCACCGTCTGTGTGGCATCCTTGATGCCAATGGGTGCTCCATGTCCAGTGGTGACCGCTCCCGGTGAAACCTTTTTCAAAAAGGAGGACAAAAAGCAAGGTTAGTTTTATTGTTATTATTTTTGTAGCAAAACATTTAAAAAATAAATAGAAATATATATATTTTTGTACGTCACTTAAAAATATTATTCATTTGTAACAGAGTCATACATTTAAGCAGCTCTTTCAATTAAAATTAGAATTTATTTATTCGTTTTACCTATTTTAAAATTTGGTAAACGTGGATGCAAAGTGCAATTTCCTAGATTTTCGTTATATAATGCCGGTTTAAAGTGTCGCCTAATCTTATCGGTTCGTTAGCGATAATTCTTTTTTGGGGTGCGGACTTTAATTTTTTTTAATTTATAATCGTTGGGCTGCCACGAAAAACATAAACATAAAGATTGCAGAGCTTTATCTCTTCAAGGGGGGTCACTTTCAGACTCACTTTTGCAGTGCATAAATATTTGCTTAGAATATTTGCTAAAAGAAAATGAGAAACCACTTGTTGCTTAGTGCTTTAGGCTTTAAAATCTTTTATATAAGGAATTTAATGATAAAGCATATGTCTTTTGTAGATTATATTAAATTATATAATCTACAAAAAACATTTTTTTTTATCAAGAAAACGATTTTAGTATTTATAAATTGATGGTTAAATTACTGCAATACAATTTTATTTTATTATATTTTTCAAAACATAAAGATCAATTAGTTAATATGTTCCGTTAAGCAAATAAAACTTTATTGTTTGAGCTGAAATTTCAATTAGCCCACTAACTGTCCGCCATTTATCACCCGATCTGATTTGTGTTCGCTAAAGTGTCTCCATCAACGTCTTTCATGTATTCAATTAATTTCCCCGGAGTAATCAGACACCGCTCCTTAATCACCTTATCGTTTATTTCGCATGCAAGCCAACAACTCATTATAAAGTTAACTCATCCAACAATTTGCAAAACTGTCACCGGCTTAATGCGCACTGTTTAGCTAATGTATTTGATACCCCTGACAACGCCATGCGAAATTCTAATTTGAAAGCATTTCTAGAACAGTGCATATAGAATTTTATATAGAAGGTTGTTAATCAAAGTGAAGCCCCCGGTGATGTGTCAAAGCAGCTAAAAATTTAGCTGCTGTTTGTCTTTAAGAACAAAGTGTGGTAGATATCACTTAAGGTGGGGATTACACCTAGAGAACGTTTACTTTTTAATTGCTTAAGGATTTAGTTTGCTATCTATATTATCAGATCTCATTTCTTAGAAGTCGAATGACTAATACTTTATATTATTATTATTAATATGTTCACTGTTAATTGCGTTTAAAAAAGAAACACAAGTTTAGCAAGAAAAAAACATCATTATCAGTCATGAGTTAAGATTCAAGTCACCTTTTAGATCGGCAGAATAAGCTCACCTGTTTGTGGACACTCCTTATTAATTCTTAATTTTCTGGACACTTCTATATACATTTCTAAAGCTTTCTGCACTCGCTTGCTCTTTTTATTTTTTTTGCCCCGATTCAATCAGAATGGTTTGCACTTTGAGACAACAATATGGGGCCACTTCAGGGGACCGATACGAAAAGTGAGGCAAAACCGGGAGTGGCATTGGGACGCGAAGAGCGATCCCCGCCCTAACAAGTCAATCTGGTTCCTATCAAAGCTTCCTTGCTTATGTGGTTGTAGATATCTCAAGAAAAAGAGCACACTGATAAGGGAACCTCACTCGATCTCGAACAAGAATGCAAAATACACAGCACACAGGAAAGTTTTTAATTGCAACTTGTTGGAGACGGTAAACAACACTTTAATTAGGTAGCCCTATAAGATCAGTGCATCTGATAAATATTAATAAAAAAAGCTGAGTCAAAGGTACTTTGATTATTAAAAACATATGATGTCAAAAGATGTTTTATTTTAATATTAACAAGAAGATTTAAATGTAAGAAATTGGTTTGTAATACATTTAATTTTAAAAATACCTTTACAATCAACTAAGGTAAATCTCCCCTTCATGCTTGCAAAAAAAAAAAATTTCGTAATATTAAAAAAAAATTTTATTAGAAAATTTAAAAATTGTAAAATTTAAACATCATTTTTAAGTTAGCGTGGGTTACGATCAAAAATTTGTGTTACTTTCTAAAAATGTGTTTGCTCACGATTATTTCAAATACGACCTTCCGTAATAGCACTCACATAACTCGAAAATATTTTGTTCCTTGCATTTTGGATTTTCTTGTAATTAAACTACAACTGATTTCAAGATTCTTAAAGAACAAAGAACCTAGTTGCCATGGATTATTCAGCGAAACAAAGGCAAACATTTAATTGCCTGACAGAATGCAGTTTTCACAGTTTCGTCATAGAAGGTCAAAATCGACTAAAACAACACGAACCAACCAACTGTGGAGCTCTCTTTTCTGGGTCAGTTCGAAGCATTCTCACATACAGTCGGTTGCAAATGGGCGTTCCAGCTCCGTTGCATAACCAAATTGGAGAAAGAAAATTTGCGCTGACTTATGGCTGGCAAACGCATTTTCCCCACTCGGTCTAGCCATTTCAAACTCAATCCAAAACGGGTTTTTGGCCGGGTTCGTTGTCACTTGATCGTCGAAGCCCATTTGCAACCAGTTTATGCAACATTGAGCCGGTCGCCGCAAAGTCCATTGACTCCCAGGGAATTTTCCAACCTCAAAGCGGGGCAAACAATCGTAGTCCTCTAAAGGTTCATATGTATATGTACATATATAAAACCAACTATTGGTAATTGTTTGTTTTATAAAATTTCGAAATAATTGATTTCGTGACTCAATGCACTATGCATTTAATGCCGGTGATGCGAAACGAACTATTTTACTTTACGCTTATTATTAAGAAATATGGTACTCAGAAAAACTTGTTCTACGTTTTTGTTTTAATTTACTAAATAAATTTCCAAGTTTTTATTATTACGACACTAAAAGCCAAGGCGAAAATAATACAAAATCATATCACTTTTTTGCCCGGAATAACTTTTTTATCCTTGCTTTTTACATAGGTACTTCCACACAAACATACAGTTAATTATTTGTTTTGCACTTTAAAGCTAAATTAGGTTTTATACTAGAATGTTGGAATATTGTTACTATCCCAAGTGCTCACCCAACAAGATTTATACATCTGATATATCTAATCTATTTGGGGCAATTACTTAGCTGTTTTTTCGATGCTTATCATATCAACTGGCAAAATTGCTATGCAGAATATTTTATTTCATTTATCGATTATAGGAGTGACATGAAAATGGAAAAATCCTTGGGAAATTGCTAAGTAATGAATTCTATAAGTATACACACATCCTATGGGTATTTGTTTTAATACGAAATTTTAATTTTATTTATTATCGGATAATTTAATTTTGGAATATGCAAGAAAATCCAAACTTTTTTGAAATGTTTTCATTCCATTAATGCATGTAGAAGTTATAAACATTTTTGGGAGCATTAGAAGTCTAATTTTCTAAGTGCTCCAAATTAAAAATCAAACAAAACAATATTTGCACGATTTTTCAATTAAAGTCGTGCATTTAATGTCTGTGTGTTGAACCAAAAGCGAAAGCGAATAATTAACACGAAAGTGCAAATCAACACATTCAAATAAGTAAAATCTAATGCACAATGCAAGTGCCAAATGAAAATGGAAGTGCACAGTGAAAACAAAGGCGGAAAATGAAAATAAACAAAAACCAAAGGTTAGCCAAGGTTGCAAAAAACGCAAAACAATATAAAAAGCAGCCGTAAACTTTGGATTAGGGTAAAAAGAAAAGAAGGTATAACCTAAACCAAACTTCGGATTAGGTACAGAAACTACAAATCCAATAAGAAAAAAGTGCCACATTGATAAGGTTTATCAGCTTGGTTCCGATAAGATTCGTATAAATAAATAGAAGAGAGAGCAAGAGAGAGAGGGAGATATCGACCGTTCTTGAACTTTGAACTGTGGTGAAACCGCTTTCGAAATATCTCGCATCTTTCAAAAAGCCTTTGTTGCTTTTTTGCATTTTTAATTATTAATGAAAAGTACAGACTCATAGCATTCGTTGCTTTAATTGCCTTGTTTTTTGTTTGTTTTATTTTCAACAATGTTTCTCCCTTCTCTTTTTTTCCTCTTATTTTCCTGCCGGCAGACACAAACACACATATACGCGCACCTCTCGCTCTCGCACACCAACGCACTCACCGTTTGGCAGTTTTTGTAGTCAATCAACTGATTCGATGCCGCATCGCGTTCAGCCATTTTTCTTCAAATTTTAGATATTTGCTCAATGGGATAACCAGAATTTTGATATGCTCGACTTGAACAAAAGTTGGTTTTCAGCCGCCTTTGAGTTTGCTGTTGAGCGAGTCGAGAATTCTGTCAACTAAAGCAACTGCAGCGCAGTTTCGTTTGTTTTTATAGCCAGCACGTACTTGTTGTTGCGCTGGGTTGTCAAGTGCGCCAAAAACATCGATATTTCTGCAGTGCAGCCATTACATTTTGAAATCGATATCCATCGGATGTTTATAGAAATTTGTATTTTTAAAGATTTTATGATATATATTTGAAAATAATATTTTCCTCGACCGAGACCGAGACGTGGTCAAGTCGGCGAAACTGCTGTTCTTTAATTGGAATTGTATATGGATAAAGATTCAACCCGTCAAAACAACTGTTTATTGATTGGATTCGGATATAAAACTTGGGGAATAAAAAATATTTAATTTGTTTTTAATTTATGTCAGATTTTAGAAAGTAAGGACGGGGTAATATTATTTCGCGTAAAAAAGAAAACATATTTTGGGGACTTTTTTTTTAACAAAACAGTTCAAATCTATTTCTAAAAAAGAATTTAATCTTATAGATGGACAAATTTAAAAATATTGTGTTACATTTTCATGGAGAATATGGTAAAGGCAGGAATCTGTCAGGAGCTTTAAGTTTTTCAACATAATAGGATCTATCTAGAATTTAAAAGAAGTGGTTTTTTAACAGATTTAATTTTTATTTTTTAATAAATTTTAGACATACTTGTTGTTAATTGGACTAGTCCGTAGCATGCTTAGGTACTTCAGTATTTCTATTTTTAAAGAATTTAACAAATTTTCAGTTCGTTAACTCAGTGCATTCTTCAGTTCATTGCTAGCAAGCATACTTTTTTAAATATTATTATAAAAACTTATTTTTAAGCTCATAACATCCTACAATGGTCACATATTAGTAAATATTTGCTTAATAATAGAAAACATATCCTGTGTATACGCTGATATGTTAAGAATGAGTCAACTACAAAAATGAATTACAATATGCCAGCCTTATTTCATCCAGGTAAACCTTCGATACCCATTAATAATATAAAGGTAATGAGGTATTTACAAGATGTTTCGACCAATTTTTAAATGACACAGTGAAAGGTTGGCGTTTTGAGCATTATAAATGAAATTGAACAGATAAACATTGTGTTGAGAATGCAAATTTGGTTTACAAACAAAACAAAAATTAGGATTCAAATGGCTTTAGTTGTTAGATAAGTATCTATCTAGCTATCCTCCCGTGGTTCCAGCCAAATAAATGTCCATGGCCTTCTTGTTTGGGTGCACAACCTGGCGCCTCTTTGGTATCGGCTGGATGTGCGGCAGACGAGTGCCATTCACGGCGTTAAGACTCAGATTGGAGTTGGCATCGTAGTCATCACTGATGGACGTGTCCGTGTCCGTGTTCGGGGATACCAATACAGGGCGTGACCTTTTGGGCGATGGTGCCTTGTGGATGTTTTCGGCCTGGCGCTGTCGCTTCTTGGCCGCAGCAGCACTCGTGGTGGGTCTATCATCTGACGAGGGTATTGACACATCCGCTGTGGGATTTTCGGAACTAGTATCGGACCAAATGAGCGGCTGATCGATGCCGTCTGGCAGGTTGGACTTGGAACCTTCTGCCGGGATCACCGACACTGCGGAGCCGGAGTCTTGAGAGGAATTAATCCGTTGACTGCTGCTGACATCCGAAATGCTCTCCGCCTCCCTGTTGAGAGCATGTTGCTTGGCATGGTCGTTCTTTACGTTATAAAACCGGACAAGAGATGAATAACAAGTACGGCACAGAAGTGAACCCTCCATAAGTTCAGAGGAAAGCTTTTTGGCAAAACGCAGCAAATACGGATTTGTCAATTTACGGTACGGGGTTCTCAACTTGTGATTGCCCAGTCCGCAAAAACGCATCTCCGTCGGACTTTGAGCTGCTCCAGCTGCATCGAGATCCATTTCCTATGAATAATAAGACAAGTTATTTTACCTTTTCTATCCTTAAATAACACACTTACTTAAATATTGCTGAAATCAAAGCCAAATCCAAACAAACGCAACAATCCCGCCGGTAACTTAGAATAAAGTGTGCCGTATATTTATTTTAAAAATTAACCAAAAATACCAAACACAAAAAGAACCGAAAATATACATTTTATACCAAAAAAGATAGTTAGCCTGGAAGAACATAAGAACAAAAGTGATTACTATTAAATTTTTATTTATTTACGGGCAGTACGAAGTTGTTATAGTAAATTTATAACTAGTTGGTATATGTACGATTTTTTAAATTTCTTGTTTCATCGAACAATTCTTTAATTATTTTTACTTTTCGATCTTAAAGATACCAAAAAGTTAAATACCAGCAAGAAGCCCAAATACTGCTGCTCGCCAAACAGCACATTGAGTGCTGTTATACGCAATGTGTTAGCTAATTTTTTGTCATTCATTGTTCATACGTTCATACGTTTTCCTATCATTCCTAGTTAGTTATCGTTTTCCTAACATTTATGTTAGAAACGATGATTTTGGCAGCGCTGCGGCAGAGGGCAAGCAGAGAAGATATCGAAAAACATCGATTAAACAGATGTTTTGAAAACATCGATGACATTTTCTCCACCTCTAATTCATTGTTCATACGTTCGCTCGTCCGATTTTCTTTTTATAAAAATACAATTAAAATTTCAAACATATACACATAATGTTTATAAATATAATGTAGTGCAACACATATATGTATAGTATAGCTAAATACCAAGTGCAATCCCCCAAAAGATAACTTCAAATGGCGATCTAATTTACGTAAAAAAGAGACAAAAAAGAAACGGCGCGTGTGAAATTTTTTCAAGCGAAGGAGAGAAGTTGGAGCAACAAAAAAAGAAGAGAGAAAAAATACAGCAACAACACACAAAGTAGGCCAACAACACAGCAAGAAAAATCAAGCAAGCGGCAACAACAACAGAAGCAACCAGCGAAAGAAGCAAAAAAAAACCTTGTAATTGTGTCAATAAATGTTTTAAATTATATTTCCTTTGGGAAAAAAGCGAGTGTCTGTGTGTGCTTGGCAGTGTGTGTGCGCGAGACAAGTGAAATTTTCTTTGTTTCCCTGCGGGGGAGGAAAAAAGAGTCAAGAAATGAAGTTGCCTTGAAACAACAAAAAAACGCTGCCCCAAAAAAAAAATGTATATGTATGAGTGAGTGTCTGACTCGTTGTCTGCTTGTGTTTGTATGCGTGCGTATGTGTGTGGCAATGAACGTTGAGCAACAACAATAATTTTATTTATTTGGAATTTTTGATGCGCTGTTTGCTTGCTTTTATCTTTATAAATACACTTGCCAGAAATAAATGAATTGTGAAATAAAAGTCTCAAGTGGTTTTTCAGCAATGAAAATGTTTACCCGAAAAACGATAAGCAACAAAAACAGCGGCTTTAAGGCTGCTGGACAGGTTTCCCACGGCTAAAAAGATAAAAGCAAAGAAACAAATAAGGAGCACCACGACGAAGAAGAGGTAGCAGCAATGCGTGAAACGCGAAAGCAAAGTGAAATTCAAGACAACAACAACAAGCACATAAGCGTAGCGGCTAACAGAAACCGTTATTCAACAATTTCTTGAATAAAACAACAACAAAAAGCATACAAGTGAAAGAAGGCACAAAATACTGGTTTACAGAAAAAAAGATAAAGAAAAAGAAAGAAAGAAAGCAAAGCGAAAAAAGAGAGAAAAAGTTGCTGCACGAGAAATTTTGTACGTGTATCGTCTCCCCATTTCTATCCCTGCATGTGTGAGTTTGTCTAAATTAAAGTGAAAAGCAATGCTGCAAGGAATAACCAAAACCGCAAGTTTACAATAAATATATAACCGTAAACGAGATTAAAAAGGAGAACATAACAAAATATTAAACATCTCAAGGTGAGTAAAAAAAAATAGTTTTTCAATGGTTTTTTCCAAAAAGTGCGTGCTTTAATTAAACTGTTGCTATGTCTCATTGTTCGTGCTGACACAACCAAAAAAAAAAAGCGTTAAAATGAAAGACAGAGAGTGAGTGAGCATGTTGTTTCACTTTTTTGGGAGCATGCGAAACGTCCACAGGTGGCTTATTTACAGTTACATTCTTGATAACAGCTGCTTCGTCATCTCTTCTTCCCTTTCTTTTTACATTCTTCTTGCACAAAGCTCTTTAATACTTCTCACGCTTGACAACGAATTTCGGCATTAAAAAAATCGCCATCTAATTAACGGTTAAACGCTAATGAAAACGATTATGTGAAACTATAAAACTTATTTTCATTTTCATTCATTTAACAATAAAACACAATAATACTGTTAATACAAATTACGGGGCTTGTTTTGTAATCTTAAATAACACAGAATGGTCTGTAGAGAGTTTTACTTAATGATTACTTTGTTTTAAAAAAAGAAAATATAAACAATTAATTATTAAAAGTGGTATATAGTTATAAAACTTTATAGCTTTCAGAGTTCTTGATTTAAATTCAAGCAAAAATAATTAATTGTTTTAACAGATGCATTATGAAAAAGTTAATTGCTTCTTAAATATATTTACATGGCTAACTTGCTTGCCATGGATATGCTTTTATCATTGGGATGTTTAATGACCTTAACATTCTACTGAATTATATTCTGAGCAACTCACATGCTTGGTGCATTCCCAATGCGTAGGTTTGCATAGCTTGATCAAATAGTTGAAATAGCCCAAGTTCAGGGGATTTACTGACCGCTCCAAGTCACGTTTCTCTGTTCAAGTTTGCTATCTGCTTGTAAACCGATACTAGAGTATACATATATGTATCGAAATTTTATTTATTCTCTCTTATAAATAGCAAACAGAACACATAGTAAACTAAACAAATATTAAACCGCCATACGAATTTATGTAAGTAAAGTTGCCTTGAACATGTACTCTGTAAATACTTAATTTATTTCCTTCAAACTTAAAGTTTTTTATGAGACAGTTAACTTTTAAGTCTCTTATCTTAATGCATTTTTTTACCCTTGCTTACCTCTCCGAAACGTGTCATTGAATATTAAAAATAAAATTAATATTTATATTTTTTGTTTACTTGGGTACATAAAAATCTTAACTCGCTTTTCGTATGCTAGCAGATGTTACATAGTTTCCTTTATCATATTACGATGTTATGTTATGGTATTTCCTCATTTTTGAGCTAATCTGTGAAACGAAGTCGGACGAAATCGTTTAACCAAAACTGATAGCAAACCAAAAGCAATAAAAATGTTTGACCGACCATTATTCGATTTGTTGATAAATGGTTTCAAATAGAAATAGAAAACCGAGAAGTGAGCGATTTGAACTGTTTGCTCTGTACAGCTGTGCGCGATTCGTTGAGGTTGATAATTAGTTGTAGTCAATCTGACCGCCCCCTTATTCCCACTCCCCCCTTATCCCCTCGTACTTTACCTATCTACGCCTATTGTACGCTTAAACGGTTTCTGTTTTATGTGCTGTTCTTTTTTTCCCTCGGTGTTGCTGCTTTTTGCTAAAAGCTAAAAGCGTTTAACCGGTTTGTTTCGAAACAAACAGAGAAAACCGAAAACAGAACAAGCCAAGATTATGGTGTGTGAGTGTATGTGTGCAAGTTGGCTCTGATGAATAACGTTAAATTTAAAGAAATATCTGTTGAACCTTTTTGTATCTGGTGTGAAAGTTGAGCGGTTCAGATGGGAATAGTTATGAGCAGATGGCACTTACGCGAAAAGTTCGTAATATGCTATAAAAGAAGAACAATTTAAATGGAGTTAGGGCTTAATTAGAGCTTAAACACGTTTATATATTTTTTGTTATTTAAAAATACAGTTAAGTTAGTATCACGGCATCAATTGATAAATAGTGATTTAAATGCAATTAATGTATTTTTAAATTCACGAAAAAAGAAAACTAAAAAGGCAACTATCTTGGTACTTTTAAACTTATCTCTCTGATAGCCTATCAAGTAATTTCATTATAGCATGAAATTAAAAACTTATGAAGATATTAAATTTCTGTCAACGAGGCTTTTTGGATTATCTTACAATTATTTTTCAATAAATTTGAAGAAAAATGTTATTCTTTCCATAAATAGAACCAAAGTAAGTGAATTTTTGTGTGGATAAAAAAGACCAGCAAGTTTAAAGCGTGTTTTGAATATAAATCAGCTTCAGTCACGCAGCTTTTGTCAATAAAATTTTACCAAGGCTCTGAATGCTTTATGGGTAGCTTCATGGGTTTAACGAAATTTACTGAGATAAGAACTTTATTCGACTTTAAACTCCCATCAATTTGAACTTCGCTCTAAAAACTTTGTGGGGGGCTATGGAAGTGCTCATAAATTCAAGTTGAAACCCTTTCCATTTGCTGCTTCATTTCACCTATCACATGGCTACAACACCCCCTCACAAATGTTTTTCCACACAGTTTGCTTTTTGTGTACTTTTTTTTTAAGCAACTATAAATTTACTTTGTCTGCCCTTTTTGCTAGCTTTTGTTTACTTGGTTTATTTTTAGTGAGCGTATACATACACACACATATCTAACAATTTACCAACTCATTTGCTGACTAGACAAAATTGGAAAATAAATACGAAAACTCACTTAAACTTCCTTGCATTTCGCTGTCATATTCAGATTTCAGCCAGCCAGTTTTATGTTTGCAATGTATGCAATATCGTTTCACAAATAATTGTGTGACTCAACTACAAAGTATTTTTTATTCAATTTTTGGGATCCCGTTTTCGTTTACAACTTGGCCACTTTCATTTGGAGATTCAAATTGCTTGTCAAACTTGTTGTTCTCATTGTGTTCTGTACAATTTGACACCTGTTGAAGTGTGAAATGAATTTTGAAGTTACAAAACTCGGCTTACAAAGTTGAATGAATGAAATATGAAAATAAACAGAATTGTAAGGTAAATGAACCCTTCTATGAAGTATTTAAAATTAAATGAAAATGCTTATTTAATATATTAAACAAATTAATTTATTATATTAGATACATCGTTTTTCCGCTACAACCTTTAAATTATGTATAAATCATAATCAAATTATTAAAACCATGTAAATGTTGAGTTATACATAAAGTCGATTCGTTTTTTATACACTTGCATCGGGTATCAGCAGATTTCAGGGGTTAAGCTTGTTTTTAAATATTTTATTAAGTAAAATTAAGAATGCATGGTTTAAATTTCTACATTCCTAAATGCCCAATAAAATCTTTTAAAGTTTGTTTAATGGTTGACCATTGACTATCCCAAACCGACAATCCATTATTTTCTCACTGAACAAGAGCCATCGCAATGCCTCTGTTATCATATTATTCTTGTTCACAACTAGTTGCTTTTCCCATGCAATTTCATAATTTTCCTGATTAGTTTGTTAAGTAGAAAGCATAACGGAACTGAAGTAACACTAATGACAATAATCAGATCACATGCGAGTGAGCAATGCAAAGCAAATGGAATTTGTGTCACTCGTTTAGCGTGATCTAATTTCATATAATGGCGTTTGTTACCTTATAAATTAAATCGAATAAAATGAGAAAATTGGAACTGTACTAGGTGTGAAATTTAGGTTAATTTATTACGTTTCATTTGAATAAATATGTGCAATCTTTTGGTAATTTATAAACAAATGTGTGTTTCATGGTTATTAAAGTAAACGGGGCAATGTATATGTATTTACTTACAAAATGATCTGGTCCATGAAGACTTAAAACTCTTAACAATACGAGCATGACATTTCATTTGAAATAAAATAAATAAATTGAACAAAATGTTAATATTCCTTTTCTTTATTTCTTCCCTATACATGAGTATTGTTTGTTTAGTATGTATATTAAATATTTGTATTTACTTGCTTAATGTATTTGTTTGGTATATATTTGTCATAAATCCACATTTGTATGTACGTATTCATACTTATACATAAATAAATACAATTTTAAACGGGGGAAAGACTGTTTTAAATACTAAATTACTACATATGTTACTGATAAACTTTACCTTTTGTATATCTTACCTATAATCAAAAACTATTTATGATTACAATTTAATTTAATGTTTTTATTTTTAGTAATTATCTAAATTTCTTAATAACCTGCATGTATGAACATATGTATAATAATTTTTCCTTAGTTATATACATTTAAATTTCTGTCGCTTAACTCTTTTTTTCTTCCGCCAAACTGTCGTTAATTATTTTTACTTTCGACTCAATATCTTCATTTACTTCTCTTATCTTTCTGGCTCTTCCTCTTCCTCTTTAACTTATTTCACAAACTCATAATTTCGTGCAATTAAATCATTGTATGACAAATTGACTTTAAAAAGCAATGAAAAAGTGCCAGCAACAATAAAACAATTACACTGACTATGAAAAAAAAGGAAACATACATACAACAACAAAACAAAACGAAACTTGCGGCAATGAAAACGCAACAACAACAGCAAATAAAATGCTAATAAATTGAAATGAAATTAACAAAAACAACAAGGGAAGCACGACAACTGCTGATTGTTGTTGTTCATTGAGAAGGAGAGAGCGCGAAAAAACGTGTGCACATTAGAAGGAGAGGGAGGAGTGCGGTGAGAAAGAGAGGGCGGCAGTCGTTGACATTGTTGTTATCTTAAATTGTCCCGCTTACTTGTTGTTGTTGTTTCCTTAGCTTCTGTTTATTTGATTTTGTCATCATCTTAATGCAAACAACGAGTGAGCGAAAGAGATAGCCTCACGTCGTCGGCGTCGCTCCGTCCTTGTCTAGCCCCGTATTTTATGTGTATTACAACATTTTTTGCGGCGGCGACATAAATTCTACAGATACTGATACAAGCGCACTTTGAGATACAGATACAAAAAGAGTACGCAAACAGATACAGAAACAACAACGATTCACAAATTTATGTGTTCGTTGTTGGCCCCCAAAGGCGTACAACAACAACAAATATATCGAAGAGAAAATATCTCAATGATCATGAGTTCTGTCATCATTATCATAATTATATGGATGATCATCTGCTCATCTGCTCAAATTTTGGCACTCGTTCTCATTCTCTTTCAGCTTACACAAAAGTAGCCTTAACTTTTCATCTTCATATGCAAATACGTTTCAAACAAAATAACTCTTAAAAAACCTTTGTCTATCTTTAGAGCTATTCGATTTCTTAGTTAATGGTATCGAGCGTGCACTGTGTTATTCATTATTAAGACTAAACGATCTGGTTCAGGTTTTTATTGTTATTTAATTGGCAAGCTTTGAATATAAATGTTAAGAAAATCATATTTAATTTATGGTTTTTATGCAATTAAATTATTCCGTTTTCTTTATGTGTTGTTAATTGTTTTTTTTTTTTAATTTAAGATTTTATTTAGTCTATTTTTTTCTTTGGATTTTATTTTTGGTAAATTAGTTGCTTAAACTTAAATTGTAAAGTCTTTCTTACATTAATTAAGTTTAATATTAATATCGCTTTTTTCGGCAGTCCTAAACTTTCTTTAAATTAATCATTTGCACTTATTATTTTCCTGGTAAAAAATTCAAAATTTAAATATCATCATTTTAAATTGCAATAGAAAATAGATTAAAATATTCACAAATAAATTTAAAAAAACGGTAAAAGAGCAGCTAATACTAACAATCTGGATAGACTATTAGAAGTTGTTAGCTTATCAAACTTAAGCTTTTATGTACATTCCTGATAAGAATGTGGTTCAAAGTTTCCAAGTCTCTTGTCAACATCAAACTTGACTTTTTGTACAACACGATTGAAAATATAGTTCCCAACTTTGCAAAATCGCATTAACTTTAAGACTACTAAACAAAAACTACAAACTTACTTTCAATAACATTTGGAACAGATTTTGTATGTTTGCCACCCCACAGTTACGCCTCAGTACAAAGTTTCAATTAAGTTGGCGGCGTGCAAAACCAAATAATATAAATACATACCGATGTGTGTATAATAAACTGAAAAAATGAATAAATTCGGAGAGAACGTTAGCCCGTGGCCACAGTTTGTAGATTGTAGAGGTCAAGGCTATAATGTTTTCTAAATGTATGTACATATGTATGGGCGGGCTGCTTGTGAGGGTCCGATACGAATAAGCGACGGAAAAAGTGCAAATAAATTTGTGACGCATTTTTATTTTGTTATTGCAAATGATATAAATACACCGATCGGCAATGCACACAGTTGAACAAAAGCACAGACACATGTGTGCACCACTCAAACGAAATGAAAAACGCGAAATGTGAACGAGAAAAAGAGAAGGCGACGTAAGAGCACAACGAACTTTTGCGAAATGTGAAATTATAAAACAAAGCGCGCGGCGTAGGCAACAACAATAACAAGCATTAAAACAACTACAGCTGCAGCCAAAACCAATACCAATACCAATACCCAACGGCCAACAGGCTCAACAAATGCCAAATTAAAATGCTAAAAAAAAGGCGCTAAAAAACAAAACAAGCCGCAATGTTTGCTATTGTGTTGACTTGTTTTTGGGCACTGTCTCTTTCCAACACTCCAAACCCGAATTGTTGTTGCCATTTTTGTTTGTTTTAAGCCAAGGCCAAGCTGAGGGAATTTTTCACTGCCTCTTCGTTTTTTGTATCTGTTTATTTTTAAACACAACCGTCGCTGGCAACTGAAAAAAAAATAAAATTTTGAATTGCAAATGCTCGAAACAAAAGCCAAGGAAAATAATCAACAGAAAGAAAAATGATAAGGGAAAACGCGAATAAAATGTTTGCTTAAACACGAAGGAGAAAGCTTGTTTGTTGATTAGGATAGATTGTGGCTTTTTTAATGAGCTACCAAGTTCATTCACTTGAGGAAATCGAAAGGAACTTTAAGTCAAAGTAATTCAGCAATAACGTAGAACGAAAAACACAAATAGAATAAAAAAAACGTTATAGCTAAGATACACTCAGGTGTTTTTCAAAGCGTAAATATGCACATATTTATGTTGTTTTGAATATAGCACAGAACCATGCACTAAAAATACAAATAATCCATTTAATATAAACTTGAAAATTAATTTTCAAAAAGTTCTTTAATTATTTATGTTGATAGTAATTAATTACTAAATAAAAGGGTTATATATATAAACACTGTGTGGAAACATTTAAATTATTAATCTTCCAACTATTAAATTTTTAATTTAGAAGTTTAGCTTTTAGGAGAGCTTAATTTTCTATTAAAGCTGAAATTTAAGTTAAGTCGTTAAGTATTGTTTATGTGCTAAAGATCAATAGAGCAGTCATTAATAAAGCCTTAAACTGATTTAAATTACCTCAAAAAAAGGTAAAAGACAATAGAGAATTCTATGCAGCATTTAGAATCGTTTAAAACGTTATGCCATTCGTCTATTTTTAGCTGTAGTTTATGCTGCTTTAAACAAATTATCAGGTCTGTCCAACTCGAATAGATATAGATGTACACACAAAAATTTAAATATTCACTACATGCATATATAAAATGACAATTAACAATGTCGAACACGCCCACAACACAACAACAGAAACGATTTTCGTTAAATAAGTTTTGACGGGCACCGTCAGCTATTTGTGCGCAAATCAAAAAAGATTTCGTGTTTTGTCTCTTTTAACTACTTGTTTTCTTTTATTTTTAGTATTTGTTTTTGTTTATAACAGATGAGATTGCTGCGGCCTTTCGCCCTAAGCTGTGTGTTTTCGCTTATACTCGCTAATGTTTTTATCTCTGTCATAATTTTGTTTTTAAAAATGATTATTCTACCCATTATCTGTCTATTTGTTTAAGTACTTGTTAATCAGGCAACACGTGAGTGTGTTGTTAGTTTGGGGTCGGTCAGTCCGTTAGTAATGCCCCAGAATTGATAACACTAGAAGTGCTACAAACATTTTGTGTGAGTCTTATAGAGGAATTTAAATACATATATTAAAAATAAACTTCATTTAATTATTTGAAAAATATATTATATTAGTGGGTTTTTTAAGTTTTAAAATACACGTAACCTTTTAGTACCAAAACTATGTTGATAACTATAAAACTGGACTTCAAGGACTATACAAATTTGTCCCTTGTTAAAACCTTAAAATATCATTATAGATTTCAAATTGTTTGTTGGAATCCCGAAAAACACAAAGCTTTGTTTGTTGTACAACATTCTTGAGTTAATCCAAAATTTGTGTCCAATTGCTCTTAGTTTCGCCATAAATGAATCATTTTGGGGCATTTTGTGCTGTGCTCGGTTCATTGGAAAGTCAGTTTATTTTCGTGCACGTTCTTTAGAAAGTCGTTGAACTGTTTGCATTTCCCTCTCGCCCACTCTCTCTTCCCCTTCTTGTTCTCCCCTTCTCCCACAAATTATATTGTAAACGGCAAAGATAATTTTTAAGTTTATTCGTTTTTAGCAATTTCATCATCGTACTGTGAATTTTGTTCATATTAGAATGAGTGCCTGTCGACTTCAACTTTTATGGCTACAATAAATACTGGGGAAAATGACAACAGAAACCCAAAAAGATTAAACCCTGACTTTGGCATATTTCCTGAAATATTTTATTTATTTATTTAAATCTTCTTTTGTTGTTCCCGTAAATAGAATGAGATTCATGAACATTCAATAATGTGAAATGCTATATATGCAAATACAAATTTGGGACAAGTTTTGAGATACGTTCACACAGGAAGTCATAACTTTAAGTACAATCTAAATAATTTGATTATTTATTGGGATTTCAGCAAAAATCACCATTTAATTGTTAATTCAAACAAATTGGTTTTATATATGTTTCTCTTTTCAATCTAATTGCATATGCTTTTAAATAAAATTGATTTCTATTTAAGTTATACTGCTGTATTTTTTTGTTATTATATTTGTGATTATTAGACTCTTTATTAATTAAATGCGTATTTATTTTTTCAGGCAACCACCATGGAACCCAACAGACATCACGAATATCAGACACATCATCAGCCGCATCCGTCGATGCAGCACCACCCAACGCATTCGCATCCGCATCACCAGCAACCGCACCACCAGCAGCCGCACCACCCGCAGCAACCGATCCACCACCATCACCCGCCGCCACCGCCTCCTCAGCAGCAACAGCAGCAGCAGCAACAACAACAACCACCACCACCGCAGCAGATCCACCAGCAGCAGCATCCGCAGCATCACTACCAGCAGCAGCTGCATCACCATCCGACGAGCTCCACATCGGTGGGTAGTTCCTCCTCCGGCAGCTATGGCAATCACCACCCCCAGCATCACCCAACCTCGTTGGCCGAGGATCCTGGGCGATCCCGGACAGCGATGTATATGAGCAGGAGCAGCCAACCCGGCTTGCCACCACCCCATCCCCATCCTCCGGCCCAGGGAACGGGGGCCACTGGTCCCAGCGGAGGTGATCCCCACATGCAATACTACACCTCGAACCAAAGTTTGACGGTGAAGAAAATGCCCGAACCGCATCCCAGTTGGAGCTACAAAAGCCAAGCTGTACCTGCTCCAGCTCCGGCGCCTGGATTGCGACAGCATGGCAATCCCGGTCTTTATGCAACGGGCAGCACAGCCTACTGGCCGCCACCCGATGAGCAGCTGCATCACCAGCAGCAGCCATCCCGATATTCCTATGGGAAACCAGGAGGCCAAGTCACGGGCTCGAGATCTATTCAAGGACCACCCCTGCCAAACAGCCAGCGTTACTACAGCGAGGACATCAAGTACTCCACGGTACCGGCCGCATCCAAGGTGCTAACCTACGCACCGCCAGCCAGCAGCTCCGCGCAGCCACAGCCACCGCCACCCACCGCCAGTTCGTCATCCAACTCGTCATCCGTCCGCCACTATGAGCTCGAACATGTGGTTAATCCTAGTAATCCCAGCAACGAGCACCAGCAACCGAGTCCGAATTATGGTCGGAAGTGCCCGCCGCACTATGAAACTCCGCCGGAGCAGAGGAGTGCCGGGGCCACGCCCTCTTCGACGGGCACGCCCACATCGTCATCATCATTATCATCATCATCATCATCACACCACCAGAGCCTGTACATACCGATGCCGACATTTAGTACGGAAAAGTTTCAAACTACCGTGCATAATGCGATCGAGAAGTACGTGAGGGAAACGCCGGGACCCAGTTTGGAATATCCCCGCGGTGGAGGCGGATCAGCAGTGGGAGCAGGCAGTGGAGCTGCCTATGGCCGCACTGGCTACTACCAACAGCAGCCGGTGAAGAGTTCCAAGAGTTCTGCGCCACCTGCTCCACCAACTGCCACCGCTAGTTATGTGAAAATGGAACCAGAGCATGCGCTTACCGGAAGTTTGCCGCAACCCACGCGATCCTCGCTCTATCACAATCCCTACAATGTGGAGAGCAGAGAAAGGGATTCCTCGCCAGCAATGGCCACGGTGCCGGCGCCACATGGTTATCCAACGAAATATGGAAAGCTGATACAGCAACAGCATGCTGGCGGCGTGGGAAGTGGTAGCTCTGTGCCGTATTCAAGTTACTATCACCAGGGAACACCTTCGCCGGCAGCGGGGGCGGTGGCCTCGCCCACGCCGGCACCAGCACCACCGCCTGCCGGAGCGCCAGGAACGAATCTGGGTCCCGGTATACCTTCTCCACACAGCAGCCAGTCTGCTCCTCCGCCACTCAACAGTCAGCAGCCCGCCTCATCCTCATCCTCAGCCTCTAGCAATGCCAACTACTCCACGCTGCAGGTTTATCCGCACGGACCAGATATCTGCTACCAGCCCGGTGGACAATCCCTGCCGCCAAACCAAACCCAGAGTCATCAAAATCCGGCCAAGAAAGCACCAGCTGTTACTAAACCGAACTATCGGGCCTTAATCAACGATATGTTGAAGAGGAATACGGCCAGTGAGCAGGAACTGAATCTGCAGATCATCAAGAAGACTCTCAATATGGAACCGCCTGCCAGAAATCATCCTGCACCCAGTCGAGTCATCCAACAGGGTGCCACTCCACCCGCTCCCCTTGCCGTTTCAACTGCTCCACATCCGCCGCCACCGCCAGCGATTCACTCGCCATTGGATTTATCCATGCGTACGGTCAAGCAGACAGCGGATTCCACGGAGTACAAGTACCAGAGGCCCAGCACGGACTACAAGCTGCCGCAGGCGGGTTTGGGCGGAGGCTTGGGATTGCCTAGGTTCGACATCACGCCCAACTTTACGGCGGCCACCAGGAGCGGAGCAGCCACGAGTCCGGCGCCAACAGCTGTGATACGACAGGCGCCGGCCATTTCGGTTGCCCCACTCCCAACCACGGTCCAAGTTCCTCCGGCGGCGGCTGCCCCGACGTTGGTGATCAAAACCCTGCAACAGATGCGTCCCAGTGTGCTGGAAACGAATCCGTTTGCCAAGCGGCAGCAGCAACTGCCGCCAGAGACGAGTATTGTCCAGGTGAACAAGCCACCGGTGGAACTGATGCCCACGCCGTCGCCCAGTCCCCACAACAGCAGTAATCCCAACTATTTGGGCAGAAAGCGGCACCTGCAGGAGTACAATCAAGCCGCTGCCAAGCAGGCAAGATTGGATGCGGAATCCAATCAATCAGGATCTCTAGTCGCAGGAGCACCCCTAATTGCCGCTCCTACATCAGTGGTTGTAGTGGCTCCAGTGCCCGTAATCGCTGTCAATGAGCAGGCGCTGGCCGCCAAGCGGGAAAGGGAATCGCAACCCATGGGCCTGCCAGAATCATCCACTTCCGCCAGTCCCATAGCCAAGGTGGAGCCGCGCATTCGGACCAAAGCAGAGCTTAAGGGTTTCACATTTACACCACCTGTGCAGGTGACCTCCACCACCACCAATGCGCCAAGTACAATTTCGCCACCCAGGACACCGCCTAACCAGATTACCAATCACATACAAATCAAGTTGGAGCCAGCGCCACCGAAAGCGGCCGATTTGGGTCTAGAAGATGAAGTGAGCTTGGGCAACCTGATGGACTGGGGCAGTACGTGCAATAATCTTGTCGAGCAATTACTTAGCAAGGTTGTGGTGTTGCCACCCTCTTTGCCAACCGCCTCCACTACTACTACTACTACTACTATTAAACTGGAGCTGAGTGAAGATGATCTGCCAGTGGCTCGCATTCTCAAGAGGCAACCGTTGGCAGTCGTTACGCCAGGAGGTGGAGATGCCGAATCGGCCACCACCCAATTGACCACAACCACCAACGGCATCTCGTCGTCTTTGGGCAATGGCAGTGGCCAAAAGAAACTGAGCAAAATGGAGAGGGAGAAGAAGCGTCTGCAGCAGGAGCAACGAATCGCCGCCCGTTTGGCGCCCAAACAGGGACAAACTAGCTCATCGGAGAGCGATACCACGGAGCTCCATAAGCGTAATACCGAAAGGCAAAAGAAGCCACTTATGCGGAAGGGAAGAACCAGGCCAAGATCCCCGGAAGCAGCGAGCATTCAGCAGAGCAGCGATGAGGAGCAGGAGAAGGGGAATCAGCGTCTTAGCCGCAGTCAAACCTCCAGTGAGGAGAGTAAAACGAAAGCCACCACAACCAAAAAGGATGCTAAAAAGGAGGTTAAGACTCCCACTAACAACAAGGCCAACAATAGCACCTCACCAAGCAAAACCAACAAGAAACAATTTGATGCTTCCAGCCAAAACAAATCCAAAGTTGAGGAGAATCTAAAGCAAGAAAGCCACGAGAGCAGCTCCTCCGAAAGTCACGAAGAAGACGACGACGAAGAGGAAGAGGAGCAGGAGGAGGAGGAGGAAGAGGAGGAGGAAGAAGAAGAACCCGAAGAGGATGACGAAGAGGAGCAGGAGCAGAAGCACGAAAAGCAGGACAAACAGAAGCGTGTAGGCAGACGTCCAGGTAGCACCCTAAAAAAACGCATTGCCCACAAGCTGAACACCATGACCCGCTCCAAACATCGCAAGGAACTCGAACTGCAGTTGGCCAATAGTAAGGTGCTACGCAATGACAAGATCATTCGCAATTCCACCACCAAAATCAAGAGGAAGTACGTCCGCAAAGTGGTGGACAGCAAAAAGGAGATGATGGTCACGCGTTTGCGAAACAAACGTGGCTTAAACTCGGACTTGGGACCACTGAATGGTAGAAACTGCAAACTGAAGGGCAACAAAGTGGGCCAAAGTCCGGGAAAACCAGCAAAGACTTCGCCCCAGCAGCAATTGTACCTCGAGGAGTATCGCTATAAGTTGGCCTTGAAAATCCCCCACCGTCTGATCTCGATCAATAAGCTCAATAAAGTGGCCGCCTCATTGCCGGACTTGGAGCGGCGTGATCTCGGCCAGGAGTTGGCCTGTTTCAAGCGAAACAGACCCAAGACCAAGGCAGCCAGTAAGCAGGATTCCACACCGAAATCCATAATCGATGTACTCCACTTGAGGGTAACCAATGGCAGTGCCCACCCGAGTGCTCAAAGGAAGATCTCCGTATCGGCTCCCGCTTCCACCAACCTGCAGATCCACAGTGAAACGTCGCAAACCTCCGCCTCGACTTCACTGTACGAGCAACCGCAGCAGCAGGAATCCACTGAAAACCAATCGCTCGATGATCTCAGCAAGCGGCACTTTAGCATCTTCGATACCAAAGTGTTGCAGAGCAAAACCCGTACGGAAACCAAATTGCAGAAGCACCGTGAGATCATCCGTGAGATATTCGTTGGTCCGGAGCGTCCGGCTTCGGCTCCGCCGGAATGCGCCCAAGAGGCAGAGGCTGGCGATGCCATCAGTTACCAGAAGTACGAGGAGTTCCTGCAGCAAATGAACAGCATTGTCAGTGCCAATGGCAACAAGCTGGCCAGAAGATCTCTGATGGAGGACAAGTCCGTGGCAGTGCCTCAGTGTCCGCACAAGAGGAAGTACCTTCGTCGTAAAGGCAGTTCGGGCTTTGATTATATACGCAAGAAAAAGAGACCAACTCCAACTCAGAATCAGAATCAGCATCAGAACACGAATCACAGCCAAAATCATAATCAAAGTCAATCGAATGCCAGTCAATTGACACAACATCTATTGGATCACAATCAGAGTGCGGCGGATGAGCGATTGGATGATACGGACAGCACCATAGCTGGTAGCTCTCACCTACCTGCGAAAGTCAAAACGGAGATGGATGTTTGCCGGGAGATCCAGAAGTGGGTGCTCAACAAGGGAGTGGGTCAGAGTACCATGCACAAGGCTGCTCGTCAGGGATTGATCGATGTGGTGGTCTACTGCTTGGATCATCTGAATATGAATCCGGATCAGAAGGACAATGCCGGCTATACGCCCCTCCATGAGGCCTGCACTCAGGGATGGTTGGAGATTGCCAGGATTTTGCTGCAATTCGGAGCCAATCACTCGGAGGCTGCCCAATCCGGAATCCGGCCCTTGCATGGTGCCATCGAAAACGATCACGAGGAGGTGGTGCGTCTGTTGCTCTCCTATGGCGCCGATCCGTTGCTGGCAACGTACTCAGGTTGGCTTTGGATACACATGCGTTTTTTTTATCAGCAGTTCTTACCATTTGCATTTCATTTCTAGGTCAAACCCCGCTAATGTTAGCTTCAAGCGAGTTGATGCGTGGCATTCTGAGCGCTCATCTCATCGATGCACAAAGTGCCGCCGCTGACATCAAGCCAATGCGGTTCCATGGGCCTTGGGAGATATTTGGTGAGTGGAAAAAATAAACATCTGACTGAAATCTTAATAATTCTTAAGGCTTCTTCAAATTGCAACTGCAATAATAAAATTGATTTATTTGTACCCATTTCTAGTTTAATTATTTAATAACTTAAGCTCTTTCTGGTTCGAATAAAATTACATAAAAACAATATTTATTTTTGATTATCAAATACTTAATCATTTTTGCTAAAGTTAAAGTAGTTTTCTAAAGTAAACGTTAAGTAACGAGTTAAACCATCAAAACATATTTTTAAATTAAAAGCTCAGAAAATATAAATCAAATGAATAATAATTTAATTTTTAAAACATCTATTGTTGAGAGTTTTCAAGGAAAAATCAATATTTAATTCGTAGAGTTTCAGAAATAATTACCATTCATGCTAATTTTAATCCCTTACTCATCCATAAATTAATATCTTACAGATGCTAAGGAGTATGGTTATGATATATTCAGTAATGTACCGAATACATCTTGTGATATGAGCAGAGCTCTACGTAGAGAAAGGAAGGAGGCCAAGCAGCAGAGGATGAGCAGCGGCAACAGGAACAGCAACAGCAACAGCACCATGATTCCAAATTCCAACGGTAATGGCTTGTTGTTGGCAACCAAGAAGGAGGAGCAGGAGCCCGAGGATTTGGAGCAAGAGCGGGTGAAAGTGATCAAGCAGAACGGGGAGACGAGTGCAACGAAGACTGGACCAACAACTACGACAACAACGGCAACAACGATGGTCAAATTGGAACCAGGAACCGATGAGGATAGCAATAACAATAAGAACAACGACGAGCTAAATGCAAATGTTGAAAATAATTTAGTAACAAGCGTTGTGAATGTCAAGAATGAAGTGAAAAAGGAAATGGATGCTGAATTAGAAGCGGAAACGGAAGCTGAAGCAGAAGCGAATAGGAATAGTAGGAGTAGGAGTAGGCTAGACGACGATCAGACGGACATCGAGACAATGGATAGTGAATTGAATGGTGATATTTTTGAATTTGAAGAGGCCGATGTGCCCTTGCCACCACTGTACTTGCTCAAAGACGAGGGCAGTGATAAATGGGTACTACTCAACGACTTGTGCAATTTACTTAAAGTTAAATCAAAGGATACGCTGCTCAACAAGGTAAGTTGATGATGCTCTAGATGAAATAATATTAGCAATTAAACAATTAAAAGTGTTCAATATTTACAAAATTTTGTACATCAAGAGTAAGTCATAAATTTACTTCTTTAGTAAATGGAATATAAAAGTGATAAATGCTTAAAATCAGAAACCTCAATTTTGTAAGACCATAAAAGCAAAATGAAAGATAATTCTCAACAACATTTTAAAGTAAAAAAAAAAAAACACTAAAATAATTATATCCCTGGTCATTTTTATTAATCAGTTAAAAGATTACAAATTACAATATAAAAATTAGATGCTATAGTCAATGCTATAATTATTTTTCTTACTTATTATTTTATTTTTTAAAGCAAAATTTAATAAAATATTTTTCTCTTTGCCCAGCTCTGTCCGAACAACAGCAACGCATTGGCCAGCAGTCAGAAGCACCTGCTCCGGGAGTTCAAAATCGACGATTTCCTGGAGAAGGCCACCTGCCTGCAGCTGTTGTGCGCGGGTGAAAAGCTGAACATGTTCAGCTCCTCGAAGGTTGTACTTATCAAATACAACGACAGTGTGCGGAACTTGTTGGGCGTCAAGACCATTTTAATGAAATTTTAACCGAGATATACATAGCGATAGGACGAGGCATGATCCAGAATGAAATAACTTAGAAAATGATGAACAGATGAACCTAGCACTAACTGAAATTAAGGTGTAAAGTGCAAACAAATATTGAAAAACTATTAGTACGAATATAATAATAGATTTATATATTATATACATATGTATATTTTAGCTAGTAGCTAGTTTTTACTCACACGTCTTTGTCTTTGGAAGATAAAGTCTTTTTTAAAGGAAATTAAATTAGAGCTAATGCAAAGTGATACAAAGGTGCTATACACACTCAAAACGAAGAAAAACGAAAACGGAAACGGAAAAAGAATGGAAATTTTAAAGTGAGAATATTGTGAAAATCTGGAATCTTTAGAGATTGGCTGCAATAATGCAATTCAAATGTAGAACAAACGGAAGCGAGGCAATGAGAGTAATGGAAACGAACAGAAAATGTATGCCAGCCAAGCAGCTAATAAATTGATATATACTTACAGATATATCTAGGGATAAAGTGTAATCTATGGTTTTTAAAAAATGCAAAACAAATTAGCTAAAGTATAAACTATATAATAATTATTGTAATAATATTAAAGCAGCAACAAAGGCGTATTTATGTATTATGTATTTTTAAATGAAATTATTAACATAATATATAAAATATATGTATACACAATATGATCCAACTATAATGTAAATCAATTTTCAGATAGGTTTGTAATTTTCTATGTAATGTACGTGTGTAAGTTTTGTGCAACTATAAAAGGAAACCACAAAAAAAAACAAAAGAAATTTAACAAAAAACTAATAATGAAAAACAAAATAAATGCAAAGTGAAATTTTGGCAATTTAAAAGTGGCTTTTTAACTACAAAATGGGGGAATAAAGTAATGTTACAATTTTGCAGCGCTTTTTTAACTTTATTACTAAATCTAATTTTGTCAAGATAAGCCCTTATACTTCAAAAGATTTTTCATTGTTTTCTTATGGTTTTCATAATTGTATATCACTATAAATATGAAAAGTTAATTATTTGTGTGTTTAATGGATGAAATCAAAATAACTGGGGATTGTGTAAGCGCAGAAACTTAAATAATAATAGAAATAATTTTTACTTTTGCTTAAATATAAAAAAAAAGATTTCACAGAACGGATGTCAGCAAGATGTTGAGCAGGATGAGAATCCAAGTAAAAGTTCCAAAAAAAATCACCTAGATTGGATTGTTTTTATGATTCTCTTTACCGTTTTTTTAACAAATTGTGTAAGGGGCGGAATTTATAATATAATAGTACTTGAAATCATTGACTAGAATCCAAAATTGTTAAAAACCGCAAAAAATTCAAATTCATTAGTTATCGATTTTTATTTAAGTCACTTACAGCTTTTCTGTATAGGTGGCGCTCCATTCAACCAGATGTCGCTCGTCAAAGTTCGGATAACTGTGCGCGAGTGTGCGTGCATGTGAGCGCTTTTAGCTAAAAGCTTTCCGGTTTTCACATGATTGCCGTCCTTGTTCTTCAAACGTTTTTTTAAAGGCCAAGAATGCTGCCTCTCTGTCCTTGGCCCCCGCCCCCGCTCAGCGACCCATGTGTGTGTGCGAGGGCTTTCGGTCTTCTTCTACCTACGCCAACAACTTTTTACTGTGGTGTTCCCGTTCGAGTCGTATGGAGTGGCCTAGAGACCTAATTTTTATTTTTTGTCCGCGTTTTGCGCGAAATAGTTTTTCCCGAAAAAGTGAAGCCAACGAATAAACAATAGCCCAGAAGGCGAAAGCCAAGAAAGTGAGAGTGAAAGTAAACAAAGCGGAAAAGAACGAACTGGCGTTAATTGTGTGTGTATTTAATATTTCCGATGCGTCCATAACGGGAGTGTGTTTTTGGATCCCCCTCCATCCTCTCCGTCTTCGACTTTCGCTGAATTTCAATGTGCAATTTTGTTTAAAAATTAACACAAAGTGGGAAGATAGCGTTGTGTCATAGAATTGGAGCAAAAGCAAAAAACAAGGCGAAAATTAGCAAAGGCAAACGGAAAAACAACAACACAGAATGCCCAGTAGAAGCCCAGTACATATGTATGTACTATAGTATATGTACATAGTAGGAATTGCAATTTATAGTTGTTGTTTTCAAGAGCTTTCGCTTGTTGCGCGCGTGCGACGATTGTGCAAGAAGTTTTTGTGTGTGTAAAGTCGGGAAGAGGAAATAGCAGAGAATAGAAGCAGAATAACATGGGAATAAATACAAAATAATTGAAATAAAAAAAAAAATAAATCGCCAAATGCGTTCGGCGTTGCGTGTGTGTGCGTGTGCTAAAATATGCTGAAAAGCTCTCGGAGAGCAAGAGAGAGAACGCGAGAACGATCGGGAGAGACAGCAACAACGATCGGCGAAATGAATCACACGCAAGCTTTGTTTTGCGAATTATAAATTCGCGTTCTCCACATATGCGAATTCCCACACTGAGAGCGAGACAGAGAAAGAGGGAGAGCAGCAACAGCTACAACAATAAAACCAAGACATAATAATAGAACTTTTGCTTTCGGTTCCAACTGGTTTTTGTATACATAAAAAGAGAGAGAGAACTCTTCTTCTTCCGCGATCTTCGTCTTGGAATTCATGGAAACCGGGCGCATGCGCAAAACAAAAACTACAAAAGGAACAACAACGACGTCAGCTGCATGAAAGGTAAGTTCTCAATTCTCCCCACGTCTAAACTTCCTTTCGCTCCTTCTCTTTCCCCAAAAACCCCTCTTACCTTTTGTCTAGTTGGTGAAGCTTTATTTTATTGTACTTAACTTCTTAAAATGGTAAAGATCGAGCACAGAAAAAACAACATAATTTTGAATAAAGAACTTCATATTATAAGAGTAATTCTTACCAATCTGAAATGCCACAAGAGATCAATTTAATAAATTTAATTAATTTTTGTTCTATCCTTTAAGTAAGCAATCTTTATCTTATTAAAAACAAAATTATTATAAATTAAATCGAGTTTGGAAAAATAAAGATTATAAGCTAAACCAAAATGCTATTATATGAATGTTATTTTGAAATTTATGAAATTTACCTAAACATTTCTCCTTAAATGTTTAAGATCAAGTTTAAACACTATTTTTGTTGTCTGTGTAAGGCACGGGGGTTGATGAGATTGGACAACGAAAAGTGAAGAACTTGGAGTCGAGTGAAGTTTATTAAAGTCGCAAAAAAGGGGAATTTTCATAGGTTCCAAAGAGTGGGGGAATATTTCCAGTTTTCTGTTTCGCGAACTGGAAAATTATTTTAAAAGGGGGAATAAAAACAGTACTGTTGAAACTTTAAATGGATTTGGTTTTGTTTCGAGAATAAATGTTTTAAAGCATTTTTAAATGCATTTTTAAAATACTAATAAAAACAAATCTAAAATTAAATCTAAAATTCCGTAAAATACTTTTTTTTATACCAACATTTAAGAGGACAAAACTTTAAACAAAAATTAAAATTCAATATAAATAATCTTTAATTACTTGTAAAAAGGTTTTAGTCAAACTTTCTACTTTAAATATATATTTTTTTAGTTTACTCAAGTAAAAATAAAGTGAGACCGGAAAATAAATTAAGGGTTCAAATAAAAAGAGGCCGCGTTAAATTGCAAATTGTTTGCTGGATAATCAAATGGTACCGAAAAAAAGCTTTAAAAGCTTTTCTCCCTGATAAAGAGTTGACCTTGGCCTGCTTTGTAAAAACATTAGGCTTTATCCTTGGCCCACATTCCCTGTGACCTAACCTTCAACTTAACCTTGCCTTGACCTAGACCTTTTAAATTCCTTGTCCTACTTCCTTAAAATGGGAAATAAAAGTTGATTTTTCTATTAATATTCTTAGCATTTGTAACCTACTTAAATCTCAAACTACTGTTGACCAATTATTACCTTTTCAGGTCTTTAAAGCAATTTTAAACTCACTAATACTATCGTTACCTGCCATTACAAATCAAAAACCAATCCCACACATCACAACGAAACGTACAAACAATTAAAGTTAAATTATAACAAAATGGATACCTTCAATGTACCTATGCTGGCGGAAAGCAGCAGCAACACATATGCAACAGAAGCTACCAGCAACCATCACCACCTGCAACATCAGCAGCAGCAACAGCAACATCAACAACAGCAGCAGCAGCAGCAACAGCAACTCTTAATGCCACACCATCACAAGGATCAAATGCTGGCCGCTGGCAGTACCCCAATGTTGCCCTTTTACTCCCACTTGCAACTGCAACAGAAGGATGCAACAGCAACAATGGGATCTGAAGCAGCAACAGTGGCGGCAGCTGCAACATCGGCAACTGCAGATAACTTCAGTTCCTTACAAACGATCGATGCCAGTCAATTGGATGGTGGCATTTCCTTGAGCGGCTTGTGCGATCGATTCTTTGTGGCCAGTCCAAATCCCCATAGCAATAGTAATATGACACTAATGGGCACTACGACAACAGCAACAACTACTACTACTACCAATAATAATAATATAAATAACAACAACAATAATAACAATAACAACAACAATGTGGAGGCTAAGGCAGTGAGGCCATCGAACGGCGGTTCGGTGATCATCGAATCTGTGACGATGCCATCGTTTGCCAATATTTTATTTCCCACCCACCGCACCGCCAACGAGTGCATTGATCCCGCCCTGTTGCAAAAGAATCCCCAAAACAACACCACTGGCACTAGCATTATTGTGCCGCCCGTTGAATATCATCAATTGAAACCACTTACAGTCAATTCATCGACATCCGTTTCCACCAGTAATTTCCTTTCCTCCACCACGGCTCAATTGTTGGACTTTGAAGTGCAGGTGGGTAAGGATGATAGTCACATAAGTACCACCACCACAGGTACAGGAACAGGATCGGGATCGGGATCGGGTACGGGTTCGGGATCTGGTGCAACAACAATATCCACAGCAACACCAACAACAATAACGACTACATCCAATAATAACACTGCCAATCCGACAAGGAGCTCATTGCACAGTATTGAGGAGCTGGCCGCCAGTTCCTGCGCCCCAAAAGCAACATCACCCAACAGCAGTGCCAGTACAACACCGCAGCAACATCACCAGCAGCAACAGCAGCAGCAGCAGCAACATCACATGCAAAGCGGCAATCACAGTGGCTCCAATCTCAGCACCGACGATGAATCCATGTCCGAGGATGAATTCGGGCTGGAAATCGACGATAACGGAGGTAAGTCAATACTTTATTAACCTATTTTTCCAAAAAAACCCCTAAGTTTCAAGGCAAATTTGTTGGCAATATTATGTTGTTTGCTGCAAAATGTGAAAAATAGATAAAGGCGTTTCAATAAAAAGTTTTATCCAACCCACCGAAACCCACAGAAATGTTATAAAATAAAATCGAAATTAGAAACAAACAACCAAAGAAAGCCGTGTTAAATAATATATTTAAACAGAACTTATATATACAATTGCGAAAAATTAATAAATTGTGTAATAATGTGTAATTGTGTAATAACAAAATTCAAAAGTGCAGTGTTTAAATAATAAACTAAAGTATATAAACCACTTAAAACCACGACTTCCAAAAGAAATTATTACGTATGAATTCTGTGACAATTTATCCAATATGTAATATAAAAGCAAATCAAATTTACAATTTACCAAGTATTGAAATACTTTAAAGTACAAGTAATTTGTCTATATTAAGTTATTTTTTTGGGCAGTAAGTAAAGGATTATTTAATTAAAATAACGATTTAAAATACAAGATATTGAGCAATCCAGTTAAAACGCAATCAGT